ACCCGGAAGTATATAGCCCAAGGGAAAGAGACGGACCAGAAGGCCAGCCAGGCAGGAAACTAGGGACAGGACAGAGTAGGAGCGCCCTCTGGCTGCAGATGGCGTGACAATTGCAGTGCAGTAATTTAATTCTTTCTATTATCATGGAGCGAAGCAGGAGCTTTTCAGATCTGGGTGCGGTACCTCTGTGTAGCCCATTTGAGACCATTGTTCGTCATGTCTCCCCAGGTTTGGAAGGCGGAGAGTTGTTATGAAGAAAGGTCAAATAGGGAGCAGCTTTTACTTTGTGTATTCCGGAAAGCTGGCAGTGACAAAGGATGAGGATGGCACCAGTGCATTTGTCAATAAGGAGCCCATCATAATTAAGAAAGGAGCTAGATTTGGAGTAAGTACAGGTGTTTTAAAGAAAGGCAATAACCTTGTTTGTTTCTGTACAAATCGGAATCTACAAATAACATCACTTTATTAACCCTTTACAATTTCTTGCATTAGGAATGATCTTTTCACATACCCCAGCTTGCTCTCCATGAGACACACAGACAGGGAGAGAGCTTGAGGTCAGAGCGCAGGATCTGCCATTTTACAGCACCCCTGGAGCAGTTGGGGTTAAGGGCCTTGCTCAGGAGCCCAACGGAGTAGGATTCCTCTGCCAGCTGCAGGATTTGAACCGGCAACCTTCCAGCCCCAGGCACAGATCCTTAGCCACAGAGCCACCCTGACAAATCAGTCACTGTGAGGTTTCAGGTCAAGATTCTTCGTAGTTTTCAAAACTCTGCAGAGCCGCAGAGAGGAGTATAATTTGTAATTGCCAAAGGACAGGGGGAGAAACCACAGCATCTGGTAAAAGCCCATGTGGGACTAAGAAGAACATGCACACTCCACACAGACAGACAAGGATCAAACTTCGGACCCTGCAGCTGTCAGGAAGAAGTGCCCACTGGTGCACCACATGTCTCCGGTGGAGCTTAAACCATCAAATCACAGTTTTATGAGGAGGTTCAACTTTAGTGTAAGAATAAGGGACGAAATATCTTTCCGTCGTGCACAGAAATCCTTCTTCAGCTGTTTAGAAAGAGATGTAGGCAGAGTGAAGGAAAAGTGCTGTTCAAATACTTTCTGTGCTTGATGCCAAGGTGATTTCAGGACAGAAGGCTCACTCCCAGAGATTCCAAGGACACCAGTCTGGAGATCATTTCTTGCCTTTGTCTGTGGGGAGCATTTGTTCCACAACACTGACTCACTCCACGGAAGCTGAGCATCAGCACTATAATTAATGCCAATGGAAGTGTCAGGCGACTGTAAATGATGTGGTGGCCACATGAATATGTTCCACAAAGCAGTCAGTTATTTGTCTTGTTTTGTTTCACTCTTACTCTTGTGACTGCTCTGGATTTCATAGCGTCATTTTGTTGTGCAAGAGTCTGTGGTGAGTGGAAATTAAATACGTGGGCACTTTTCTGCGAAACCTTGCGTTAGGCAAAATGGCCACGTTAAAAATCAGACCCACCTCCCTTGTATTTGTAGGTTGCTGGGTCAGAAGTGTGTGTTCCTAAGGTTCCTAGCAGAAGCTCACCATTGGTTGAGAAAGCATGGTTCTGAATTCCATGAGCTAGGTGTCCTCAGGTGAGATGAAACTCACCTCGTATGTGTTGTCCAGGATGTGGCGCTGATAAAAGGCTTGAAGAGAAACGCCACTGTGGTGTGCCTGGAGGAGACTGAGCTCCTGGTAGTGGACAAGGAGGACTTCTTTGCTAACAAGATGGATGTGGAACTGAAAAAGGAGTTTGACTACCGATTCACGTTTTATAGGTATTCATATGAAAAAGTCATTTAGTACTTTAAAATACACTTTTATGGTCAATTTCATTCATCCGTTTTCTAAGCACTTCATGCAATTCAGGGTCACAGGAGAAGCACAGCCTGTCTCAGAAAGCGAGCCAGAGTATACCTTCAAAGGAACGCCAGTCCATTGCTAGACAGACACACACGGGCACCAGCATTCCCAGAAGCCAATTAACCAATTAATATTTGCTTATACTTATAGAGCTCCTTTCTGGACACTCCACTCTAAGCATTATACAAGTAATGGGGTCTCCCCTCCACCACCATCAATGTGCAGCTCCCACCTGAGTGATGCAATGGCAGCCATAGTACGCCAGTACGCTCACCACACACCAGCTATCAGTGGGGAGGAGAACAGAGTGATGAAGCCAGTTCATAGATGGGGATTAT